ATCCTTCAAACAAAAAAGTTTCTACCCCTACATTGGAGAGCAAACTAAAAGCAGCTTATTTCTAAGTTAAAGTAAAATGAAAAAATAAATCCCTGAAACATCTACTACTTATTAATATATATTAATAAATAATAAATTACTAATATCTAGTATAAAATCACTATCATCACTTTCTTTCCATATAATCAATCACAGTTCACAGGAAACATCAAAAATGCTATAGTCTATTGTATAAACTTTAAAAGCATCCAAGGAAACTATATTCGCAAGTGATAAAAAGATACATTTCAACTTTTACATGCTATTATACTATATTAGAATAATAACTCAAAATACTTAATAGTTTACTAAGGTGGAACAAAGTCATTATTAAAATTACTAGTTTATATTCATAGAACATCGCTTTCTTGACACCTAGACTTTCTCAAAAAATCTTTACATCAACTTCAAAAATCAAAGTTTTCTCTTACCTGGTTCTTTTGAGCCAAGGTGCATGAGGTCTAAAGGACAGACCAAAACTGGTAAGGATGAAAACACGTCAGGAAACGTGGCTTGAGGTGAGGGACGGGGGCAGAGGTAATGCACGGTGTTGAGCCCTTGGATGAGTAGGACACAGACTGGGGACAATGACAGAAGAACCACAGATGCCGTGGCTCATGTTCCCTAACATGGCAGTGACAATGCATGGGGGCTCTCAACGGCACGGCCATACAGGAGATCCCATCAGGATAGCTAGAGTGTCCTCCACGGACCAGTTCCCACAGAGGCTGTCCAGTCACAGAGGGTAGCTCTGAACACATGGAAATATGAGCAAGGCTAAACAGACTCAGTGAGTTTTGGTTGTGTATGTGTGTCTGTCTGTCTGTCTCTGTCTGTTTTTTAATATATACAGAAAAATGATAATTAGAGAAGTGGTGCGGGAGAATGATCTGTATTCTGTCAATCATATTTTAATAAAACGCTGACTGGCCAGGCAGGCAGTATAGGCGGGAAAGCCAGACAGGAAGTAGAGGTGGAGCAAAGAGAGTGGGAGTATTCTGGCAAGCAGGAATCTCCCTCTGCTGTTCTGCCCAGACCACCGGAGAGGAAACATGTAAGCTGCCCAGCTGGAAAAGGTACTGAGCCATTAAGGCTAACATAGATAATGATAATGGATTAATATAAGTTACAAGGACTAATAAGAAGCCTGACCTAATGGGCCAATCAGTTTATAATCTTATGGAGTCTTGTGTGTGATTTTCTTTGGGGTATGCCGGTTGTGGGGTACCAGGCGGGACAGAAAACAAGCCGGCCCCTCATATTACATAGAAGGAAGGTCATGATTTGGGGAGGAAGGAGGGAAACAGGAAGAAGGGGAAGAAGCAGAGTAGGAGTGATGTTGATGTAGTATTCATGTATGAAGTTCTCAAAACAGTATTTCCAAAAATGAAGTAAATAAATACTGCTAAAACTATTTTCAGGAAATGTAAAAAATAAAAGAAGATCACATTATCCTACTCCACTATGCAATGCATATGATGTATGAAATTCTAATAAAGAAACACTTCACACTGGCAAAGAGGAATTATCAAGTGCAAACATCGGGATGATGGGTGGTACAAGTGAGCAGCTAAGACCATAGTGAATCAAGAGGTGGTTCTGGTCTTGCATTAGAAATGTAGAGGGAAATATCAAAAGAAACAGCTTACAGAGATCAAAGTGGAAAACATGAGCAGGATGAGGTGGGAGATCCAAGAGTACAGAAGCTACTTTGAGGTGGCTCATCAAGATGGCCTTAATTACTAAAGTTTAGGATATCTACTCAAGGAAAACAACATGCATTAAAAAAACACATTGAGTTAAAAGATAGTTTTGGTATCTTATATGTATTTTCATGATTTTACAGATATATTGTTATCTTCTATCTTATTGACTGATGCCTCTCAACTGTTTTAAAATAACATACAAATAATTTTCATGGTGAACATTTTTCTATTACAGGAATAAAATAACCTGATGGCAAAATTTTTTGTTTCTGAAATATTTCTTATAATGACCTATACATGTATACAGCGATAACTTTAGGGACATTTCAATAATTATTAGTTTTCTTTTATTATGATATAAGAATAATCTGATTTATTTCTTAAAATATCCTCATGCATTCAAATTTTTAACTTTTCTTTAAAGCTTTAATGCAATGACACTATACTATTTGCAGTCAGTTTTAGGAACCCTTGAAAGAGAACGTCCTTCCTTCCGGACCTTACTTCCTCAGTCACCATTCCATTCTCTCTACATCTCCGCGATAACCCAGGCTATAGAGCACTCCACATCTAGCATTTCATTTAGGTTCTCGGGTCCTGGCTCCCTCTCACTTATATAAGGGAAATGCCTTGGTGGTAAGGACAAACGTAGCTTTCTGTTTTCTCCCCAAATAAAGCTCTACTGCTCAGTCTTGACATCTCCCCAGTGACGAGCTTTCACCCAAATAACTCTTTAAGGATAATACCAAACTATTCTTTGTCCTCCCTGTCTGGACTTTCCTTTTTCAATTGTGAATGCACAGAACATAAAGCTCGCCTTCTGTAAAGGATCATAGAGCCCCTGCTTTCAAAATGACCACAGAGGAACAAAGAGCTACAGAGCATCCTAAAAGCCACCATCATGCCTTCTACCTACTGAGCAGTAAGGAACGACTCAAGTTACTGTCACAGTGGTTATGATTTCGAAGTGTCTCTGTATCTGCTGAGACCTGGCCTACCAACACAAGTATGTGGATGAGATGTAACAGTGTTGTGAAGTTGTATGAATCCACAATCTGAGTTACATTTCTTTGATATGAGAGTCAATAACAAAAATAAACAGGCAGAAGTACCATGGAAATATAAAATTCTCTTCTCCATCATCAGTTGCTTCATAAACATCACTGAAAATGCATGGAGAATATTTTTAATTTGTTCATTTTCATGTCAAACAATTATATTTTTATGGATTTTCTTATATGCTAGGGAAACATTTTGAATACTACATAGATGTATAGTCATTTTAAAACCATTACTTGAATTAACATATTATGAGAGGTAAAACGTAACATGAGGGCTGGCTTGTTGGGGTTTCTGTCCCGCCTGGTACCCCACAACCGGCAACTCCCAACAAAAATCACACAGAGTCTACATCAGGTTATAAACTGATTGGCCCATTAGGTCAGGCTACTTATTAGTTCTAATAACTTATGTTACCCCATTATCCTTATCTACATTAGCACATGGCTCAGTACCTTTTTCAGCAAGTCAAAAGGTATGTTACTTTGGAGAAGAGAATTTGCTTTTGTTTCCACAGAAAATGAGAATCTGTGGATTCATTCTGAGTTAAGAAAAATCAGGTTCCATCAAGGGAGGCCACCTGAGAAATCTCCAACAGGAACAGATGGCCCAGATGTCTGAGTTCTACATCCAGAACAGATTCAAGACTGCTGCCTGAGATGTTCAAGACTCACAGGATACTCCAGTCAGGACTTGATTATAACTCTAAATTTTCTTTAGGTCCCCATAAGATCATCAGCGCCCCCAACCAGCAGGAAGTAGCCTGAAATACTATGCCCACAATCCCAACAAATGGACTATGGGTATTTTCCTTCGTTTAAAAAAAAAAAGAGGGAAATGGTGTGGGAGAATTATCTGTATTCTGTCAATCATGTATTTTAATAAAATGCTGATTGGCCAGGCAGGAAGTATAGGCGGGAAAAGCAGACAGGAAGTAGAGGTGATGCAATGAGAACAGGAGAATTCTGGGAAGCAGGGAGGTTCCTCTGCCATTCCTGCGCAGACCACTGAAGAGGCAACATGTAAGCTGACAGCTGAAAAAGGTACCAAGCCATATGGCTAACATGGATCAGAATAATGGGTTAAGATAAGTCATAAGAACTAATAAGTAGTCTGACCTAATGGGCCAATCAGCTTTATAACTTATAGAGATCTCTGTGTGATTGATTTTCTTTGGAACTTGACGGCTGTGGGGTACCGGGCGGGATAGAAATCCCAACAAGCTGGCCCTCTTGTTACAGTAAAAGATAATCAGGTTAGAGAAACTCCATTTAAACATTTTAAACTTTATCATACTTAACTTTGTTATTTATTTATTTAGACCACGAGGAGAATGACACAGCTTTTGGCAGATAAGAAGGCTTGAAAGGCTGAAATTCGACTCTGAGGTGCCTCATTTCCTAATTCTGGGCCTACTTTAGGCATGTTGCTTATGCCTTTAAGATCCAAGCCCTCACCTACGCAATGGGCAGACCAACCCCATTTCCCTGCCTGAAGATCTGTGCATGCCTAGAAAAGAAGGCCACAGTGTTTGTCCTCTATTTACCAGGGGCACCTAAGACGCATTCTGAATCACACGCTAGAAGAAGAGAAACAGCTCTCACATGTCACGGCTCAAACGTGAGTTCTCTGGGAAGAGCAGTTCCCGTAGAGATCTGACAAGTATGGAAACAGAAGCAAAGATAAGCTTTCTGGGGTCCATCTAACAAGGTTCACTCTAGCTATTCTATGAGCATTTTACTCTGTGGAAGGCAATTTTAGTCTTTCAATGAATCAACACCAGAAGAAAACAGAAATTTTAAGCAGGCACTCAACCTATAATCACGACCATTCACTACCAAGCATACAACGTGAACGCTTTTGATCTTATTTCTTGAAGATACTCCCATAGAATGCTCACGAAGCTCACATAACGAGGTCCCTCTCAGAATACAGCTGAGTATGTAAAAAAATCGCACCAGGCTCTCACATCTTAGTAAGAGATTTTCCGAGGTTGGTCCACAGTGATTTGTTGGAAGTTGCAGGACAAAAGGAAAAGGGACTACTCAAATTAAAAAAATACATAAAACATCGATCTAAAATGATATATGACCATATTGTGAAAAAAAGTTAACACAGGTTAGTTAACAGAAAGCATTTGGTTACTTTAGTTTTCCTTTGTAACATTGGCAGAAATCAACAATAGGTAACAGTTACCTCTGTGGCCTTGTTGGATGGCTCCAATCCAGTCATGTTTGTTACTATTAACTGATGTAAGAGTTGAACTTGAGCCACACTTAGGAAGAAGTCCAGGTTTGTGGTTATGTTCACTTCCAAGGAATGGCCACACACTAAAATCTCCTAAAGAAGGAGAAGACAGGTTCAAAAGAAACATTTTAAATGATAGTCCTCAGATACTTTATTCTTATTATTGGATGCGTACCACTTTCTAACTCTCTAGGGACTCAAGTACTCATACTTATTAATGAGAGAAGCAAAACTGACAAGCACAGCCACCAGCATATCTTAGTGGATCAACTTAACAAGCACTTAGAAGGGTGTGCTCTCTGCTGGGCTGCTTGCTATACATGTAAGTCAAGAAGCACAAGGAACTCCTCCACCTTTCCATATTCACTTGTTTCCCCCACACTCTGAACCACTGTCATTGCTTTACATGTAGCTAACGATACAATTTTGCAGTAGGATCTTGTTCCCAGTTCAAGTGCATGGACAGCTCCTGAGAACCTTTTCCACATCCAGCTCCACAGCAGACCTGAGCGCAGCTGCCAACCTGCTCTGGAGTAACAGTGAAAACAGGCTACGTGTGGTGGGCAGTTACAGTTAGCGACATCATCCCAAGACCACAGGGTGTGGTTTACAACAACACAAAGACACTGACTTCTCTCGGCAGCACTAGGCAGAGGGCCGCTGCCTACCTGGTCTGCTCTTCATAACTGCGTCACTTGAACATTTAACATTAGAAGCCACTCAGAGGAGGCAAACAAAACAAAGAGCAACCCAGAAGCGTCAGAGTTAATAGGCACAAGCCAGCCTCTTGTCATGAGGCACATGTGGACAATGTCCAAATGTCTGCAAACGTCCAGCAGATCTCCTTGTTAGTATCATACAAAGAATAGACTTAAGGACACTGTGGCTGGGCTAAATACACACCAGACAGTTTAGAGCTGCTTTTAATAAAAGATAAAGAACATGTCTGGCATGATAATCTTTTTTTGTTAAATAAACTTTTCTTCACAAATTTGCTGTATTTGTTTATCATACTTGAATTCTTATTTTATTTCTCAAGACATAATGAAAAAATAAATGACAATGATTAGGAGTACTTTTAAAAAATTGTCTTGTCATTATAACACGTCTTAAAGGAATATAAATTTCTACAAAAATAACAGTCGTATTAGTGGGTATGTCCTACAACTGGAGGGTGACCACTCCTGTCCTAGTGCTAACAGTGAAATGCAGTGGGTAGGATGAGTGACTTACAACAGCATCCTTCCTGGAATGACCTGTTTGACTGGGTCAGTTTCTGTGAACCCTGGAGGTGAACTGGGCACTTACAGGAGACAACTAAGAAAAGGGCGAGGGAGCTGATGGAGGGAATGGAAGTGAAGCGGCCGCTAAGGCCTCCAACGCCAGCAGACACAAAGGGGCCCAGCTCCTGCTTCGCTTCCAGTCCTTCCCTTGGGGATGAGGAATTATTACTAAGGACTTCAAATCAAATTACCAGTTAATTAAGCTGGGATAGAATTGTATTTACATTTTGATATATTTTTAATTTCATTTCTTAACTTTGTGATAGTAAGTTCTTAAGAATACAAGAAAGGAGTATTTCTAGGAAAAAGTTCTTATTTCAGAGTGATCTGTGCTTTTCTTCCTTGTCCATTTTCTTTTGTTTCTTCTTGTTGTTGGTTATTTGTTCTTCTTTTGTTTTGGTGGTAGGTTTGGGGGTCAATCTCATGGCTTCACACAAAGCAGGCAAATACTCTAAGAAGGAGCTACAAACCAGACCCAATATTTAATTATTGTGAACCAAATAAAAACAGGAAGTTCAAAAGCTCTCTGATGTATTGGAATGTGTGCATCTTGGTTCATATTTTCACAGCAGTGACAGTCTGGGAGAAAAGGACCTCCTGAAGTGTTGTACAAAACCAGCTTTGTTACTAATAAACCAAACATAAGACATACTCTTTATATACCTTTGGGGGCTATAATATGGGCCCATGTCTATCAGGTAGGAAGTCAGTCCTGTGGTGCAGCCCCAGGGTCTCCCTAGTTCTTTCCCTTTAAGCCTTTCCTTCCAGACCTGCTCCATGTTTTGGAGACTCCACCCACAACTACTCTCTCCTGTGAACACACAGCTGTAATCTTATTTGAATTCTGAAATTCAAATAATAGTAGCAGTCTACCCTCATCAGAGAAGCTTCTTCTTGAAGAAGAAGGTAATTAACATGGGGAGCCACAACGAGACACTGTATAGAGAGTGAAATACTTCAGAGATCTCAGCACCAAATGGGGTGTCTGTAGATCTCTCCCTACCTCAAGGCCAGGGATCTATAAGGAAGAGAAGGCAGGAAGATTGTAAAAGTCAGAAGTGGTGGACCTTCAATACAACAAGAGTGATATACATCTGATACAGAGCCTCAGACTTGTAAGACCTGCACAGGCTCAAACCAGACAAAATCCCAGGATGGAGAAGGGGAAGTAGACACAGTCTTGCCCTTAACCAAAAAGCTATTTTCAACTGCTACCTGTAGGGAAAGAGAAAAATCAGTGTTCTCCAATGAAGTGAGTATAACTGGGTATAGCATTCACAATCTAGGGCAAGCCCAATGCCCAGCCTAGGAATAGCTGGACAAAACGTAAAGGATTTCATGCTGTGTATGTGTGTGTGTGTGTATGCAAGCTTGTTTTGTTAATATTTTTTGTCTTTCTGGTGTTTTTTTTTAATTTGCTTCTTTTTTTGTTTTTGTTTTTGTGTTTGAGACAGGGATTCTCTCTGTAGCCCTGGCTGTCCTGGAACTCACTCTGTAGACCAAGCTGGCATCAAATTCAGATATCCACCTGCCTCTGCCTCCCAAGTTCTGGGATTAAAGGCATTGTGCAATCATATCCAGCCTCTTTATGTTTTTGATAGAAAGAGAAAGGTGGATGAGAGAGAAAGACAGACACTAACAGATAGAGAGACCAACGGACTGACTGAATTGGGGAGGATCTAGGATGAGGTGGGGGAGTGAAAAGAATATGATCAAATATATTGCATGAAAAAAATAAGTAAAAATTTAATTAATTAAAAAGAAACTGAACTAGAATATTACAAACCTCAAATGAGATTATGAAAAAATTAATTTTCAAAAAGTTAGAGAAGGAATCTAATGTTTCATTGTTTTAAACTATTATACAAAGCCCTTTTCACTTAACAATGGATTATAAGAGATGCACGATTACCTGAAAATGCTATGGCTCCTAACTCACTTAGTAGACCTGAAATGCTCCCTTAGTAAACACAAACAGAATTATTCCTTCAGCCCAGGTGGCCTCAGTTTCCTCACCTATAAAGCCCAGTTACTAGGAGCAGCCTGATAGGGTAGCAAGGGCAGTGATTAGTTTCGATGGTGATTGTAATTACTGATTAGCTAATTTGATGTAAGACAGGCTGAAGCAGTCACCTCACCACAACACAAACACAGTACTCCATTACTTAAACTAAACTCAAGTTGATATCTGGCTCTAACCTCTGTGTGCAGATTTTCTGGGGAGATTATTCTGGTGAAAATGATGGCAGGTGCTCCAGTGATTCGGACAGAAAAATCTGTCAGGATGGGGGTCAAAATCGCTCTCCTTTCTTGATGTCGCCGTATGCTAAAAAGATAAGACAAACGAATGCTAGTCAAAGAGGCTAAAAAGAAAATTATTTGTCATTTGATATTTTCAAGGATAACTTTGAGTCGCACCACCTTTTCGGGAGTGCCTATTTGGGTGTCATCTAGCCAGCCCTTCAGTTCTGCACGATCTTCAAACACTGCCAGAAAAGAATAGAGCCTCTGAGAAATGCAGGCACGCTCCAGCAACTTCATGTCAATGTCATGCTAGGCTTTCAGTGAACTGTGCTTCTCTTTGCAGTCCTACCTGCTCTACAAAGTTTCTCAGCTCTTTTGTTACCCTCAATGAGCTTACTATTTTTGTAATTTTTACTTGCTTGTTTTTTAATACACTGTATGTTCCATATGGCAATGGCCACATTTCCAGTCTCATTAGGTTCATCAGTATATTCTATTTCCCTCCTACCCCTCAACAAAGTCTCCCTATGCAGTTTTGGTTTGCTTGGAATTTCCCTTGTAAGACAAGCCTGGCCTTGAGCTAGCAGTGATCCTCTTGCCTCTGCCTCTCAAGTGCTCTCTTTTTGCTTTAAGCTTAAAGATCCATTTGAGTTTATGGAAAATAATACAGATATTAAAGACTTCTTTGTATATTCAATAGCTTTTGTATTTGAAACCTAATGCTTCCTCTAAACAAGCCAGTAAGAAGGAAGGATCTTTATCATTTTATCAGCCTGATGAGACACTGGGCACTTAATGGAAACAACTTCTAGACTCGGCCTGAAGTAAGTTGTCTCCATCATAGCTTCTGGCTTATTTTAATTCTACTTTATACCTTTGCACGTTTGATAAGTTATTTCTGGTTGGTACCCACAATAGCTAGTAATTCAAAGGAGGTATGGTTAACATGGAAGAAGACTAGGAAATATCAGAGGTTCCAAGAGACTCTCTGCAGTTTTAATTTTCATCTTCTAAAATATCACTGTTTATATTTGACTAGAAACCACACCTCCAAATTTCCTTTAAAGTTAATTCAATATTTTCCATAAATACAACCTTATTATTCCCTTATGATAAAATGATAAAGTTGAAAGCAGAAAATTGGCATAAATTATACCTCATGTGAAAATGCAGATAAAATGCAAGTCTTTCTATATCTAAGAAAAATGAGAATAGTCTAGAGAGCAGTAATGTCTTTTGTTAAATTTCCAGTGGGCAGAGCTTTATACAGCAATTGCCAAAAAAGTAAATTGGATCATCTGGTTCTGTGACATATAAGTATTGGATTTCAAGAAAGTCAATTTTAAAGAATTAAGAGATCTGGTGAGTAGAGAGCAGCAGGAAGAAGCATTGAAATCTGTGACTTTGGAGGAAAGGTTTAGCTCCTGAGAGACACCATAATTACAGCCTAATAGCTCAGATTCCATGAAATGACCGACGTGAGAAACACGAAACATGATGTGCTCCGAGGGGAGCGCCAACACAGGCGCATTAGAAAGACGGTAAATGGAAAAGATGGCAGCAAACCAAGAGCGAGCATCAACTGCAGCAGCGTGGTAAAGAAAAGGTCCTTGTTCCCATCATTTGTTTTGTTCTCACTTGGGTGATGAATTAAATCAGTGACACTAACTAGAAAAACCCTATTACCACAGCAGGAAAAAGGAGATCTCATCAAATCAACAGTCATTTTCTGTTTCAAAGTAAGAGTGCTTCCTCTGTGCTGTCACTGATAAACACTTGAAGTGAAGATAAGCTTTTAAAAAGTAATTAAAAAAATGTTAAAAATCAATTATTTTCAAAGCTGAATCTCAGGAGGGAAAAGAAACATTGAAGGAGCAGCTGTTACCAAAAACTGTTATTATCTTGCCAGGTAATATATGTAGTGTTGAAAACTAAAAGTAATTAAAATCCAAAGCATTCAGCAGAGGTTAGTGGCAGACTTGGGGTCAAGACAACAGACTGAGATTGTGAGCTGCTTTAGATCTGGGCCCCTAAGGCTGAGGAAGTATCAGTCCATCTTAAAGGGAAAAACAAGAATGGCCTAGCTCAGCAAGAAAATACCTGAGGTGGGATTCTCCACTCTGTATGCTGTGAATACCATTGGCTAATAAAGAAACTATCTTGGCCTGTGATAGGGCAAAAGAGTAGAGTTAGGAGGGGAAAACTAAACTGAATGCTGGGAGAAAGAAGGCAGAGTCAGAGAGAAACCATGTAGCCCCCACTGGAGACAGACGCCGGAACTTTAACTGGTGAGCCACAGCCTCGTGGTGATAATGGAGATGGGTTAATTTAAGATATGAGTTAGCCAGAAATACACTTAAGCTATTAGCCAAACAGTATTGCAAATAATATGGTTTTTGTGTGATTATTTCGGGGCTGAGCAGCCGGGAACAAACAAGCAGCCTCCTAGAACACATACCGAAAGTGACAGAATTCCCTAGAAAATTTAAGATAATAGGATTACTTTCTTTATGTTTGCCTGGTTTATATTATCTATGAAACCCAGGAATAATCCTTCTAAGGTATTATAAGAACAACAAACACAAACTAGTTATAGTTGCAAAATGGATTTCATGTTTGGAATAAAAAGCAGAAACAATATAAAAACATTTATGTTGGGTATGTTAAGGTTAGAAAAGTGGAGGCCAGTCCTTCCCTACCTGCTGGCCATATTCCACTCCAGGGCTGGGTTCTGAGAGTTCCTTTCACTCTCTGTTAGCGGTCCTCCTGGGCCACTCCCTTTCTCTGGTTTGAGTTGATCCCACTGGGCAGTACCAATATTGATGGACTGCAGGTCTATTTGGTACTGTCTATCTTCAATTTCTGATCCAGGATCTCGAAGAATTCCTAAGTTCAAGGCTCTCCTGAGAAGGCAATGACAAAAAGCAAACACATATCAAATAGTTATTTGTCTACTAATATAGTATCATAACCACATTTGTCCTAAATTGATAATCAAGATGAATGATCATATTAGTAAATGATATGTAGGCTAATCATAGGTATGACAAAGTATTAGCAACTTACCATACACTGTTTTCTACAGGTGTAATATTTTTACTTATCCAGCATGATGGCTGTCTTACCGTTTTCATAGCACTTTTCCTAAGCACTTCTACACATGATTTTAATGTTGTGATTCAAATTCTGCTATGATCAGTTTTTAAAAACAGCTCAGAGTTGCTGGAAAACAGTCAAGGTGAAAAGCTAGTATGTGACAAACCCCCAAGTCCTTCCCAGGGTCAATCAGACAACTTCCCAAGAACTACGTTGCCTTGTTAGGCAAGGTAATGACCAGTATTTGGAGACGAGACACTCATATATTATGCAAAACTTACAATTTCAAGGTGCCTGTTCCAGGGAGACAGACAGAGCTGTCAGATGGAGGAAAATCAAAGATACATTTTCCTGAACTGGACTCAACTTTAGAGAATCTCCCGGATGAGGGTCCAACAAAGAAGGACACAAAGCGACACAAATGCTAACTCTCACATGCTGCTCACATAGCAGCAACAGAAGATAGAAACATGGCCCCCACTTCAAAACTATGGGGCTAGCCCATCAGAAATACATGCATCCTCAATATGTGGCAGAGAGTAATAATTTTAAACTCATGCAAAACTACAATAAGAATAGAATCACTTAAATGTAAAACTCAGCACAACAGAAGTGATGGCAGAACACTGAACACAATCCAAAGAAAGGAAGGCCACTTGTAGATAAAATGGGGTTTGCCTACGCAGATAGCTCATTGAGTTTCAGAATGGGAGGATGTACACACCGTAGTAGAGAGCTCAGAGGAGGGTGGATCCCTTGCTTATGGTCTGCTGTGGACCCCATATCTGAGTTCCTTAATAACACCAGAAAAGAAAATATTACAACTGCTCCTCCTTAGGGTTCTGGATCAATCAAAAGTTTCAAATACTTGTAGCCAAGGGAAGAGAGCCAGGATATTCTGGTTTAATCCAAAGATTAGAACATTATACAACATTGTATCCTCCTCCAAAACTTAATTCAACAGGGCTTGTCAATCAACTGACCAGCCCACACCCCAAGAATTCTGACTCACCTAAAGATAATGGTAAGGAGATGAGAGATCCTTCTCAGAAGCCCCACCCTCACTATGGCACCATGGCTGCTTAAAGCACCTCCCTCTTGGCAGCACTTCTAAGTCTGCCCACATTCTGAGTTCAGAACAGTGTAATTTTCCTTTTCTTCTGGATACTGCTTGAAAGCCTAAGCATGCTTTCCAGGACACTCTGGGATCCTCACTATTTATCGGAATCCATGACTTCTGTCGTGTACAATCTTGGCACTCTCCACTGCTAAACATGGTGGCTTCCTCTGCCCTCAACTCAGAAGGCATGGATTTTCCTTCATCTTTGTCGTCTCTCCCCATCCCGCCACTGCTGGGATTGACAGCTTGTCTGTCTTGTTTTTCTTCCAAACTCTCATAGCTCCCTTCTTCCAAATTCTCATAGTTCATCTCTACATTCTTTTATTAATGAGCCTAAGATACAAGAAAGTAAACTTGATTTTCCTAGTAATAGTTAACAATCAGAATAAATGTAGATGATTCATACACTCTACAGAAAAACATAAGCACTACCAAGCTTAACAAACTGTAGTTATAGTCGTACCCAAGAGACACGGCTCAAGTTTTAACAATAGGGTGATTAAAAGTCAGCGAATGGAAAAACAGATACTAGACAAAAATCTTGTCCACAAGAGCCTGTTAGAAGTAGTTAGTTATTAGAGTCCATAGTTTGAGCTCTACTTCAGTAGTTATACTTTAGTGTAAAACTTCAACCTCTTTCAGTAATAAAATAAGGAAACAGAAAAATTTAAAAATCAAATTACTACATTTGATGACATATTTATGGATAATAGAATCTGAAATTGGAAAACATGTTTCTCACGTGCACAGTAACATTTCTAAGAACTGATTCCCACCTACCATTAAGTTCCCCTCAACACATTTCAACCAATTAATATCACACAGACTGTATTCTGTGAGTACAATAAAATTACCTTCAATGCTTATTAAAGAGAAGCTGCAAGATGTTTATGTTTAGAAATTTAAAAGACATTTCTAAGTTAGTTACTCCTTGGTCAAAAAATTAAGAAAGAAACAACTTCAATCTTAGGCACAAAAAGGCAGATACAGAAGAGGTAGCACTTGAGGAGAATGCACTGATTAACACACACATATATGTGTTGTTGAGAAAGAGAGGCTCAGAACAAACAAGCTACACATAAAAACACAGAACAAATAGGAAAAAGTGGAATAAGAAATGATCAACAATGCCAAACAAAAGGTGAACTACTAACAAGAGGGAAAAATAAAAGAATAAAAGAGTAAATAATATATTTGCAATAAAAAGAAAACAGCTATGACACTGGACAGCAGCAGTGAGCAGACAATGGGTAGAAGCCAAGGAGGGCTGCACAACCAGGATCTCCCAACTTAGGCAGGAAAACAAAAAACAAACAAACAAACCCCAAAACTCTCTCCTGGTCACCACTCAATACTCTCCTGGAAGGTATTCTCATTCTTTTCATAGAGCATTAAGTAACACTCATCCTCTCATTTCTTCCACTAAATATGACATCAGTTTACCTTGTACCAGTTCTTTCTGTGCGAGTGAAAATGACCCGTTTCAATACCTGGACAACACAACCACTACTGATGAGTGTAGCAAGTGGAAGAACAGCGAAGTCCAATATCATCTCTAGTCACTACATCGTCTTATCAAAATAGTACTTCCACAAGTGAATAAAGTTACATTTGCCCCTGAATAAATAGTTACTGGCCACAGTGTCTCAAATTTTGTGGTAGTCCCTTGCTGCTGGCACGATTCCTGCCATGATCCAACCCCCCCACATCTAGTGGGGATTTAAAAGCAATTAAGCGAACAGAAGATTGAGCACAGAACACAGCTGGAAACACACAAGGACCACCAAACAGACTGGAAGCCCAGGAAAAAAAGATAGGAAGTACTTAGGTCCAAAGTTCCAAAGATCCCATCTCATACAAGTGAAGAATTATCTCTCACAGGGGAAACAAGACCCAAAGGTGGGGCGACAGCAGATCTAGCAAACATAAGAAGGTTCTGAAAAGCTACTGTGGCGAATAGGCAGGAAAGATGGAAGGTCACAGGCAAAGAGGAGCATCAAGTACCAAATGAGCTCCACCCACTTATTTGGTAAAATTTAAAGGATCTAAAGAAGCTGTGAGAATGAAGATGCATGCACTAAAAGGAGGGCTTACTTTACAAAGTGGTCATTTTACTTTTGTCTAACAATACAGAAATGATGGAAAGGCAAACATGTAAAGGGAGTTATTTCCCAGGACCTCCGGACAGCTCCCAAATAACTATACAGAGACTTAATATTAATTATAAATGCTCTCAGCTGATCGCTTAGGCTGGTTACTAACTAGTTCTTACAGCTTAAATTCACCCGTGTTTCCTGTCTATTCTCTACCACTTGGTGGTAACTTTTTTCAACAGTCTGTTCATCTTGCCCCCACCCCCACCCCAGGCGACTCCACTCTCTTTTTGTTTGCAAGTCCTGCTTAACCTTTTCCTGTCTAGCTGCTGTCCACTCACAATTTATTAACCAATGAGAGTAACACATATTCACAGTGTACAGAAAGATTGTTCCACAGCACATAGCTATCCAGAGAAATCCTCGGTTTCTGGTTAATTAAGATTACTGAGAACATATAAATACACACATGTCCATCTATGCAGAGGTTGTTACATCATAAAATCTTTAGTAGGTGTGAAGAGAAAAAAAATCATCCTATTTTAACTCTTCTCAGACTCAGCATAAATTGCTAAATAGAAATGAGATAACTAGAAATTAACACAAAGAGACATAGCCAGATAAAATATACAGTAGAATTTGGAAAATCAAAATCAAACAATAAACAAACCAACAACACAACAGAGAAAACAATGGTCCTTAATATGTTCAAACCACATTTTTATTATCCTAAAACCACTATAATAGCATGCTGGTTAGCATAATAAATCTCTTACTCTGAAGGCTAAGAAAACATTATGAAAAATTTAGATCAATTAAAATTATGTGTATCTTTGCAAAACAGTTTATTCAATAATTTTTTAGCACCTAAGATATTAAAATCAGGGCACATAAATGTATTTCCAATTTACTTTCTCAAGAAAAATTTCATGTTTATATTAGAAACTACAGAAGTACAACACTTAATATGAAGATTATATTTTAAGGAACCAGTTAATATAAAAACTGAGTTTGGTTTGATTTTTCTGTAATAAATTTAATATAGATGTTTTTTTCAGATTTATAGAATACAAGTCCAATTCTTCCCTATTATATTATCTTAATAACTTATTTTCAATTCTTTACAAAGGAAATACACTACTAGCAAGGACTAGAATACTTAAAAGTCACAACACCCTTTTTAAGAATGATGCAAATATCTTACAACAGAAAGCCTCATAGTATTGTTTCCTTTCCCAATTAAATATTTTCTAGGCACATTCACTATCGAAAATAGAAATCAAATCTTCTTGTCTCAAAAGCATATGGCTTAAAAACATTCTATGAACTTTGCTCTGTCCTTATTGCTGCTTTTGAATGCGAGCGATCAAATCAGGAAAGAGGGAGAAGCACAATTCTCATAACTTCCTTCCCCCAACACAGAAGGCTGCTGTACTGGCTCCCACGTAGGAGTTATAATTGTAATTGCTTTGGCCCTTCCGAAACCCTCCGCCCAGACCATCTGAACCATTCAGCAGGTGGTGGAGGAGGATAAACTCAAGTCTGCAATAGTTGGTCAATAATGTAATCATAAGGAACCAAAGATGACTGTAAG